TTCTAGAACGCGTTCCACCCAGGCTTCGACGACGAGAGGACACCACCTGTCCCTGTTTCTCTCCGCGCACCTCTGGCCGGCGCCGGCGGCGCCCCTCGGCCTGGCCGTCCCGTCCCCTCCTCCGCGGCCCCGGTGCCCGCCCTGGCCTTCCCCGCCTGGGCATGGCTGCGGGCTCAGCCTGAGACTCGGCTTCTGGGGGCAGAGAAGGCGCGCGAGAAAGAGGGGGCTGCTGCGGTGGGTGGGTGGGACGCTGCGCGCCCCCCTCAGACCCCCTCTCCCATCTGCACAGGGGGGCGTCGGAGCCGCGTGAGACGCGGGACAGGAGGCGGCGTCGGGACTTCGCGCTCAGGGTCAGATGTCAGAGGTGGTCTTCGCCCTCTGCCCTCAGCCAGCGCGCTTCCTGACCGCCGGGCTGCCCGACTTTTCCTCCCCTGCGCTGAGGCCAGTGCCACGCCCTGGCATCTCCCACGCCCCGGCATCTCCCACGCCCCTTCCTCCGTGTCTTTGGCTGAGCCCACGTGCGGGTCCGCGGACCCAGGGCGGCCTCTCCGGGCAGGCCCAGCACCCCACCCCACCCCCGCCCCGAGGCTGAACTGACTCCCCGGCTCCCAGCTCGCTGCCCCTCCGCGGCCTCCCGTGGGTGGAGGCGCTCTGTGGTCGTCCGCCCTCGCGTTGAAGGTGCTCTGGCGCTTCGGTCTACCGGGCTCACCTGGGCGGCCGTACCTGGGCCCGGCGCTCCGCCTGCCTTTCCCCGGCGCGACCACCAGAGGGCGCCCGGACTCCACCAGGCGGAGACAGAAACGCGCGCGCACACGCCACCCGCGCCGAGGCCACGGCTCCCGAGGCCACGGAGGCCCCGGCCCCGGGACCCCCGCTCCCCACATCCTCAGGACACTTCTGGAGAGGAAGCCAGGAGCAGGTCCGATGGCAGGCGCCCCCTGCACCCAGCACCCTGCCGTTCTGGGAGAGCATGGAGGTGCAGGGGGAGGCCACGAGAGCCACAGCGTTGTGGCCAGAGGCCTTCAGCTGGGATTCGGAGAGCCAAGGGCTGAACAGACACCGGGTGGTGGCAGAGGCAGTGGGTGTGTTTTGCTGTCTTTAGGTTGCAGGGTACTGAAGCGAATCCTTGGGCTAACCTCAGATCTGGAGGAAGGAACTTTCTGGAGTGGAATGGGCCTTGGTGCCGGGTTCCCCTGGAAGCAGACGCTGGGGCCCTCGCCTGGGATGGAGGATCATTACCAATCAATTCTGTGTCGGGGAGAGTTTTTTCCTTTGATTCCTGGCATAATCTCTGTTCTGCTATATCTTCAGTTTTTCAATATTTCAACCCTCTTTCCCCATCTGAAAACACAGCTGCCCTCATGTTGAAAACCAGAGACAGCGGTCACAATGCCCCCTCCACACCCGCTCTCACACCCACCTCTTGTTGATATCCAGGGCTGTTAACTAACCCAGCCCTTGTTTATGTAGTACAATGTGAATTACTAATTCATTTTTCTTAATTTGAGAAAATCAAGCTCAGCCAAAACCGAAAAGCAAGTCATCTCCAAAGCCAGACTTCCTGTTTCCTCACTCTGGGGTGAGCTGCACACACCACGTGGCTTCTGCTGACGGTTCTGGGGACCCGGTGGGCTGCGTCTGGGCCCTGCCTGTCCTGCAACGCGTGTGCCTCGCAGTTCGGCTCACACTTGATTCCACCAGGCAGACGTGGCTGCCTACGGGGTCTTCCCGGACTTGTCAGCCTCCTGAGGCCCACTACGGCCCTCAGGAAAAAGCAGGAGTGAGTGGGCAGTTCTAACTGAAAAACACACTGTGATGTGAGACAGGCCGGCGGGTCCCAGCTCCCGTCCTCAGCCCCTAGCCCCAAACGCCAAGCTTGGTTTCCATCCGAAATCCTAGAAAGAGGGTTGGCAAGCTTTGGCAGAGATATCAGGCTGTGTGGGCTGGGTGGTTTCTGTTGCTTTCTTTTGGACGAGCGGGGAGGCTACTCCAGGTAACATGTGAGTGTGGGTGTGTTTCAATAAAACTTTATGAATGGACACGGAAATGTGAGTTTCATGTAATTGTCACAGGTCAGGGAATAGCAGTCCTCTTTGGACTTTGTTTTTTAACGTTTTAAAAATGTAACAAACAGTCTCAGTTCAAGGTCTGTGTGAAAACAGGCCAGAATTGTCCCAGAGGCCAAAATTTGCCCAGCCCTGTCCTGGAACATAAATCCCAGGGAGTGCCAGGAATCCGCAGGGCTCGTGAAGGGTTCTGTGACTCGTTTGTAAGAAGTCATACGGAAGTCACTTCTTGGGCTTCTCAGCCTCTTGGGGTGGATCATCATCCAGAAGGACGGAGCCTGTACCACCGAGGAAGAGCTGGGCTCCCCCAGGCCCGCCCGCCTCCCTGGCAGGCATGCTGCTGCTTTCTCGCCAAATCTTGCAACTGACCGGCATTCTCTGCATGTCTGCCCATATTTCCCACGTGGGTGCGATGCTGACAGCTCTGTCAACTCCCTCAGACAGCGGATCACGAGCTTGCCTTACTGCACCAGTAAAAATTCCCAAAGCCTGCCCAGACCCACCCATTGAGAGATTGGAGTCTGCACTCTCAGTGAGAATTTCCTTCCTGTTTCCAGCACTACCTCGTGGAAGACGATGAGAAACACAGACGACAGCTTGGGAGCAGGGTTCTGCCACATAACAGACACTGCAGAGAGCCTCTGTAATTTCTTTTAATTATTCAAACAATAGAGCACAAAGATAACAGTTTCAAGTACATTCTGATACACGTTTTGACAGGAATAGATATGCATTTAGTCATGAGGGAGGCTGGCAGCAACCACCATGCGCACATTTTGCACCAACTCTTGGCTCATCAACCCTGAATGAGAAGTTGGCACCGAGTCCTGGCGGGGCTGGGCCCTGTACCTAGTTTCTGTAAGCAGCGGTTTCCTTTCCTTGCCTGTGAAAAAGAGAATTTTAAATATAAAGCAGTGGATGGATCTTAAGAAGATGGACCAGAAGGGCCGGGAACAGCACCCAGCCGCTCGGAGACTCTGCCACCGGGCCTGTCAGGATGGAGTGCCACCCAGGAGTCTGGATTTCCCATCTGGGTGAAGGTCTGCTCCAAGGTGCCCCGGTCACCAGCAGAGCTGTGCCATGGCCTGAGCACCTTGGGGCTTGGTCAACGCCCGGGTTCCCTCCGTCCACTGGGGCTGCGTGGCCGTTGGCAGGTCTGTCGACACAGCCAGAAGCTGCTGTGCGCAGTGCCTCTGGCTCACTTTGGACTGACTTGGAATCAGACTGAACTGTGAAAAGAATAGACACACTCTCCCCCAATCCCCGAGAGACTGCAAACACCAGCCTGGAACCTGCTGACCACCTAGGAGACCACAGGAAAGCCTTTTGCAGAAAAAGGCTGAGGACTGCTCCTGCGCAGAAGGCCTGGCATTGGGGAGGCTGGCAGAGGCCCTGTGCCATCCACTTGGGCACGCAGCCTTTTGGGAAGGTCACTCAAGGCCAGACCCTCTGCAGAGCAGCTCCTCAGGGACAGGGCCCAGCCTCAGGAACCAGTCCCTGCCAGGTGGGGCTGGTCTGTTCACCCCTGCCCCCTCAACCTGGACCACCTTCCCCACAGGCTCCATCCGTTCGAGGCCCTGACTCACGCAGCTCCACCCTTTCAAAGCCCAGCCTGCTTGGATACTTCGGCCCAAAGCACAAAGCATGACAGACACCTTCAGTAAGCCAAAGAACTGGCAGGAGTCCCCCACTGAGGACCCTGACATCAGCCAAGGGCAGAGACCCTCTCAGCCAAACCTCCACGGTGGCAGGAAACATGGAAGGACCGTCCCCAACCCAGCGCCCACAGCGGCATGCCCATTCGAAAGGGCTCAAAGCCCACGCCTGACCACGTCAGACAACCAGCATAGCCCAATGGCCTCAACAGCAGCCCGCCGTTCTAGCAACTGGTCCACGCCACTGTAGGCTTGCCACTCGGATTTAAGGGGACCCTCAAGAAAAGAGGACAGGCGCTTCAGAGATCAAATCTGGTCCTCAATTCTGGGGACTCTTTCTGGAAAGGGCACAGCAAGACCACAGCAAGCAACAATGAGGCTCCTCTCTACAGATCCAAGACAGCACCAACAGGGTCAGTCCAGGGCTCTGTTCAGCAACCACACGCAGGGTCAGTCCAGGGCTCTGTCCAGCAACCACACGCAGGGTCAGTCCAGGGCTCTGTCCAGCAACCACACGCAGGGTCAGTCCAGGGCTCTGTCCAGCAACCACACGCAGGGTCCCTAGGGGAAGGTCCTCTGGGCATACACACTAGGCTTTGCTGGTTAAGGAGTCGGGTGGGGGGACAGCAGTCCCCGCGGATGGCACCCCTAACCTTTGGGAGTGTAGGAAGAGCTTCACACAATAAATACAAGCACAGCTGAGGTTTCTCCAGCCATGAGAAGAAACAGGTTGATTTGTGTGCCTACTTTGGTTACCTAAGTCAGTCAGTCTGAATTCACAGTATAAGCAACACATCTAAGTAGAATATTGGGAGTGCCAGTCAGCGCTGGGTTTCCCAAACAGAGAAGCCAAAAAAGAGAAGAAAAAGGGCTGCAACAGGAGTTCTTAATTATTAGATACTAAGCGGTCTGTGCATGGCACATTTTATTTCTATAAAACTATTACAAAATATTCAAAAATACATTTCAGTAAATTTACAGCAGTTATTTCTCAATTTATTAATGCAGAAACATCCTTTGTTTTTCTCTGTACAAACTGCAGGCTCCATCCTCGTGGGCTCATCACTATGTGCGCTTTTAAAAAATATTATTTTCTAATAAATTCTTTGAAGTTAAAAATAACAGAGTTCTTCCAGTTTGTCAAAAAAAAAAAAAAAGTGTGTGTGTGTGTATGTTGTATGTGTAACAGTCTTGGCTTCCAAGAATGTGGCAAAATGGTGAATACAAAGGGAATATGAAACCAGAGAGACAACAGAGGAGGTGGCTGTTACATCGGAAGCTAGTTAAATTAAAATAATATATTTTCATATTTTACACTATTTCGAAAATGAAATGTCATTCAGTTAAGTATTGATCTCTCAAAAAATCTAATTTACAATTCTGTTTATAAAAATATAATTTGTGGACCCCCATGAAGCACGTTTGAGTTTGCACTTGTTGAAAGCAGGAGATGGAAGGAGGGGTGGCCAGGAAGGAAGTCAGCTTTCTGACGGCCGGGGCGAGGGACGTGTAGAAAAATAGACTCTGAGCAGGTTGCTTGGCCTCACAAAATAATCTCTTCCCCTGTGAGTACAGTTTACATGACAATAATAAATTATCCAAGAAACAAACTATTTAAGGCTCTTGAAGGTCCGGTTCATATTATTTAAAACATCTATTCATACCAAACAAATAAATAGCCAGGAGAGGAGAAAAAATAACCAAAATAAAACAATAACCAAAAAATTAAAAAATATATAAACTAAACACAACAACAAAACTTCCCGGGGTCCTTGTTTACTTAGCGTCTACTTTGGACTGTCCTACTTTATTATTATAACTCAGTCTGGTTCGTGCGCCTTTTCCGAGTGTCTTTTTGCTTTGCGTTGCTGCTGCTGCCCCGCCCCGCCCCCTCCCGCGCCCCGCCCCGGGCCCCGGGCTTCAGCTGGACTTGGCCGCCATGCCCAGGGGGTGCAGGGCCTCGCTGTCCAGGAGCCACGTGCCTATTTGGTAGAGCAGCTGCGAGTACCAGTGGATGCCCGCGGTGGCCCCCGCGCCCGGATCGTCGGCCGCACCTGGGGCGGGCGGGGGAACTCGGCCGCCGCCCCCGCCGTCCCCGCCGCCGCCGTCTCCGCCGCGGTCCGTGCGCGCGGGCGCCAATGCAGCCAGGAGCGCGTGCGCCAGGCGGAAGGGCGCGAAGGCCCGGTGCGCCCAGCCGTGCTCCTCGATGACCGCGTAGCACGAGGCCAGCACCCGGTTGATGAGGATGGTGCCCTGGGCCGTGAGCGGCGCGTAGGCGCCCGCGGCCTCCTCGCGCAGCGTCACGCTGTGCACGGCGGCGGGCAGGAGCCGGCGGTCCCCATCGCGCTCGGCCACCACGTACACGCGCTGGCCCGGGCGCACGCGGCTGGCGAACAGCGCCCGGCGCCCCGGCGCGTCCCCGGGAGGCGGCCCCGCGCCTGAGGACGACTCGGGCTCCCAGGCGGCCGAGTCATTGTGCGGCGCCACGAAGAGCAGGTGCGCGGCGGTGAGCAGCAGGCGCTCGCGCGGCTCCCGCGTCTCGATCACGTAGAAGACCTTCTTGGCGCCGTCGTCGCGGTCCAGGAAAGTGAGGAAGTCGCTGTAGAGCAGCCGGCCCTGGTCGTCCGCCGCCAGCACGCGGTCCCCGGGGCGGAGGTCCTTCACCAGCTTGGTGCCGCCCTGCTCCAGGTGCACCGTGGCCGAGCCCGGGAAGCAGCCCCCGGATTTGGCCGCCACCGAGTTCTCTGCGGGCGAGAAGGGAGAGAAGAGAGAACAGGGCATTGAGTTCCGAAAGGGAGGCACGTCTCGGGGAGGAGGGCGCACGCTGGGTGCCCGCGCGCCTAGGCCCCGGGTGCTCACCACGCGGGGCTGGGCGGGGCGAGGGATTCCAGGCGGGTCCCGTACAGACCTCCCTCCCCCAACCCCACCGCCCCTGGGACAGGATTCCGACGCCGGCACATTCTTTAACGACTCTCCAAGTCTGGGCTGGCGGTGACAGAGGTGGGCTGGCGTTTCCTGCAGAGGCGGGTGACACTCCTTCCTTCCGCCTTCCTCCAACCCCACCCCCAGCCCCGCACACACCCAGCCTCGCCGCGAATCCGTCCAGAGGGTGTTTGCTCTGCACTTGGATTCCTCAGGAAGCCTCCTTGAGCTCCCGCGGGCGCCGAGCTCACCCTCTTTCCCTCCCGCCCCGGCGCGCGGCGCGGCGCCTGCTCGCGCGCTCAGCACGGGGGCTGCGCGGAGGAAACCCCGGGCCCGCCTGCCCGCACCACCCTGCGCGCCTCGGCGTGAGCCAGCGGAGGGGCGGGGGCGGGGAGTGAAAAGCAGCCGCAGTAGTTGCAGCAACTGCACAAACATTCCAGAGATTGGCCGAGGTGTGAAAATCCTAGGCTCGTGTGGATTTTCTAATTAAAATCCAATAAAGGGCCCAGCATTGTCATTGTGATTTCTGGGACAAACAGGAGAAACTCTTGGAAGCGGACGCTTCCATCTTCTCCCCTTCCTTTTCTCAGCTCACTCTCTCCCCAGCGCGCGGGCCTCCCCCTCCCTATTTGCTCAGGTGCAAACCCCCCCGTGTGCAATTCACAAGCACTATTTGCACAGCCAGGCCTCTCTTCCAAGCACTCAAGATGTGTATTTGAATTTTAAATGGCGGGGCCTGTTCGGAGCTCTGGAAGCGCCGGGTCTCAAGGCCCCTTGACTACCAGCTTTCTCGAGCCCTCTGTCGCTCTCGGAGGCTCACAGTCCCGAGGACAATAATTGAAGTTGGGGCGGAGCGCAGGGGGCCGGGGAGGAGGGCGGGGAGGGCCGTCTTCTTTGCATTCCAATCTCCGGGATCATGCTTTTTGCAAATAGAGATTGCCAGAAAGAATCTTCCTGCTGGAATTACAGGGGGTTTTTAATCTTCTCATCGGTTTCTCCGGCATGAAGTGCGGGGCTGGCCCTGGGAGGCCCTCCGTAGCCCCCCGGAATGCGACCCCGGGCGCTGGCCAGCCCGAGTCGTCGAGTCGCACGGCCCGGCTTGACACGCCGCGCCCCGCGCCCCCGCCCGTGTGCGCCGAATCCCAATGAGCGGCTCCGGCGCGCCGCTCTGCGCTCCCGGCCGGCGCCGCCCGGGGGCTGGATTAGCGCTGCTCACTTGGGAGGAGGCCTCGGGGGACCCCCGCTAGGGGGACCCCGCGGGCAGGAGCCCGGGGGGAGGTTTCGGGAGGGCTCGACCTGGGCCGGGGGGCCGCAGTCTCCTGCCTTCCTGCAGCCGGGAGCGCTCCTGGCGGCACAACCGCCCCCGCCGCCCCCGCCGCCCCCGCTCCGCGCCTTTGCTTTCCCTGGGGACAAGAAGCCACTCTTGCCTTTACCTACAAGTGCGCCTCGACACCTTAAAAGTGTTTTCCTACTTACAGAGGCCATTAAAATGGAATTAGGAGACAAGTCGGGAAGCCTGGAAAGGGGGGTGAGGAAGGTAGAGCTCCCCCGAAATTCACCGCGAACGGCTTTGCTAAACGTGCCGATGGATGCGGGCGGAGGAGCCCGCGGTGCACACAGCCCCAGGCCGCAGGTTCGCGTGCGCGTGGTGGCGCCTCCTCCGCAGCTGTTCCTCGCCGGCAACAGCGTGTGGCGTTGCAGGCCCAGGGAAGGCAGCCTCGCGCCGACTCGGCCTGGCTTTCCCGGGCCTGCCCGCCGCCCAGGGCGTCCCAGCCTGGCTCCCAGGAAGAGCGCAGGCTCCAGGCGCGCGGCCTCCAGACGCAGGAGGTGGTACCCCCTGGGTTTACTGCCGCCCACCAGGCCTCTCCCAAAAGGCTCAGCGAGTGAGCGAAGGCAGATTAGGATCCACGGGCGCCCGGCAGGGAGCAGCCAGGACGCGGACTCCGGGCCAAGACAGACCCCCCTGCGCTTAGGACGGCAGGTGGGAGCGGTTGGTTCTTAAGCCCTAACGGAGGGGAAGGATCTCGTCCAGACCTGGCTAACAGCGCAGGGCTAGGGCCAGGAAGGGCCTAGCGCCCCTCCCCCAGTTACGCTCCCACCCCCTTCAGGGGGGCTCCAGAAGTGGGCAGGAAGCCACCGGCCCCCACCTCGGGGCACGGAGAACCCTGGCCTCTGGCCTCCAAGGTAGGGGTGATTTCGAGGGGCTGGCACCTCACAGGGCAGGTTCCCCCCGCAGAAACGCCATCACTGCCCAGCACCCCCGCTCCTGGCCTTCAGCCTCACCCCAGGTTTCTTTTTCCCTGGAATCAGGCTGGGGCTCCGCCAGTGGCCCTCAGTGGGGCGGATCGGGGGCCGGGGTGGGGAAGGCTGGGCCTGGGGCCGCCTTACCTGCTTTCACCGAGCAGTGGATGTGCGCCTTGGACTCGTAGTAGACCCAGTCGAAGCCGGCCTCCACCGCCAGGCGGGCCAGCATGCCGTACTTGCTGCGGTCGCGGTCGGACGTGGTAATGTCCACTGCGCGGCCCTCGTAGTGCAGAGACTCCTCTGAGTGGTGGCCATCCTCGTCCCAGCCCTCGGTCACCCGCAGTTTCACTCCCGGCCACTGGTTCATCACAGAGATGGCCAAGGCGTTCAACTTGTCCTTACACCTCTGCGAAGACAAGGGGACCCCCACCGACAGACACGTTAGCCTAGGCGACCGCCGCCCCTCCCGGCCCCTCCGTCGGCCTGCCCTGCCTGGGCTCGAGGCGCGAGGGCCGTGGGGAGAGGTGAGGAGACGGGGCTTGGAACGGCCCAGCCACGCAGAAGAGCCGGCACTGGGCCGGGGAAGAGGGGCAGCCTTCTCAGGGCAGAGCTGGGGGCCTTTCTCCAGATCCTCAAACAGCTGGTGCTCCTAGCGGGGTCTGAGAAGCAAATAAAGAAGTTTCTCGGAAACAAGTGACCTACACGCTTCAGACGCCAACTCCGGAGCGTCCGGGGGCGCCCTCTGCGATGCCCGCCCCACCGCCTCCAAGCTGCCCTGGACTTCCAGCCCCCTCCTGGGCCCCTTTCTCCACCTGCACTGCCTCCACCTCCTCCCTGTGAAGAATCCCCCACAGCAGGCCCGACGCGGAGCTGAGTGCACGTTCCCAGAAATCAAGAACAATGCACTGTGCGCTTGCAGAACTGAAGGTCTTGCATCTATTGACCGACGGCCCTAACCCTATTCGAGGCAGAGGGGAGGCCAGAAGCCGCTGGCGGGGCTGCGGGGTGGATGGCGGCCAGGTGAATGCCCGCTTGCAGCGCAGGCCAGGCCCGGACCGACTTTCTTTATCTGGACTGCCACATTCTTCTTGCGCGTCCAACACGTTTCTGCCTGGCTTTTCTGTGGTCTCATTGTGTTTCTTGTTTCTTTCACCTGTTCCCTTCCTCCCCTCTTATTTTCTTGGCCCCACCATAGAATGGTGTCCAGCAAGTTTGAAGAGCAAACTGAGGAGGTGGAGGGAGGGGGAGGGGGGAGAGGGGGAGGGGAGCCGGGGGGCCTGAGGCCTCTAGTCCTCTGCCTGGGAGGCTCCCCAGAAGCTGCCCGGTAGGAGGCAGGAAGCGCTGACTGGGCAGACGCAGACGGGGTTACCTGAGACGGATTGTGGGGGTTCCCCCGTAATTCTTGGGTCACTTTCAGATAAGGATGCGATAGAAACCAGCTGAATCAACGGCGTGTGTGTTTGTGGGGGGCACTGACTGGCTTCCTGGATGTTTATGCTGCTGCTGCTGGGACACGGGCTCTAAGAAGGGGGAACGTGCGCGGATGACGATCGTGGCGTCCCCTGAGCAGCTGCACCGAGCGGAGGCCGAGGGGCAATCTCAAGGTGACTTCTGCAGGGGCGGGGCTGACCTCTAGCCTCCCAGTCTGGAAGGATGCTCTGCTTGGAGTCTGGTCGTCAGGGTGGAAGGACCGTCTCTACCTGGGGCCCTCACCGTAGCTGGGTGGGGAGACTCTTTCGAGGGGGTGGGGCGAGGACGCTGGCCCGACTGCTGCCGCGCTTCCAGGGGACATGACAAATTGCGCAACAGGAAAAGCCCTGTGTATCTGGCAGCAATAAAAACCAGTAATAGGGTTGTAGAGTTAAACATACAGCAACTGGGGGTGGGGCAGGGCTGGGGGCCGCCCTGGTAGCAGGTCAGTGCCTGCAGGTTTCTGGGCCTGCCAGCATTAAAAAAAAAAAAAAAAAAAAAAAAAAAAAAAAGTCAGAAGGGCAGAGTTTGAGTGAGGTCATCTTGAGGATTGAACGCGTTTTACATGAAAATCAATCAGTAAACCAGGGTCAGTTTAGATCTGTGATGTGAGGCCCAGTGCGCGCAGGCGCACACCACCAACACGCACACCGGCCCCCCCATGCACGCCCCCCACCCCACCGCAGCTCCCTCCCCTGGGGTGTGCGCCGAGGAAGCTTTAAACAGCTTCCCAGGAGGGCAGCCAGGGAGAGGGCGGCAGGGTGAGGAGGACCCGGCCCCAGCTCTCGGAGCTGCGCCACTTGGGCGGGCATGGAGGACCCGGGGCTGGGAGACCCGGGCCGAGCCGGGCCGCGACGGGAGGTGGCTGTGCGGGTGAGGGGCGGAGGCCGAGGATGGCGAGAGTTGGCACCCCCACCCCGCGCGCCCTCCTCGCCCTGGCTCCACGCGGCCTCTGCTGGCGGCCGTTCCACCTCCCGCGCTGGGCGGGATTGTCGCAGGCAAAGCCGGGAAGCCGAGGCCGGTTATTAATTCATTGGGTCGTGTGCCGCGAATCAAGCTCGACTCTGTGCAGCCACCGTGAAGCCCAGCAGGGCCGCCGGGGCCGGGCTTTGTGTCGGCGGAGGCCAAGTTGTTCGCCACGCCTGAGCTCCTGCCCACCTCACTGATCCGCGAGCCGCGCCGGCGACTGTCACCGCCCGCAGCCGGTGGGCTTTCCCCAGCGCCGGGGCGGGGGCGTCCCAACTTCAAGACGCCCCAGGCCCTAAACGCTCCTCTCTCCACTGTCCTCTCACCACGCTCGGAAGAACAGACCCCTCCTCAAACCCACACCTGAGCGCCTTTCCCGGCGGCCCCAGAGCGCACGGGAAATCTATTTAGTGTGGCGGCTCGGGCCCCCCACTCCAGGCCTCAGATCCGGCTCTCTGGCCTACTTCCCCCTCGGAGCCCCTGGCCGCCAGCACCCTCGCCTGGCACCCCAGGCCCGCGCGGGGAGAGCGTGTCTGTCTGCGCTTCCCTCTCCCGGGTTAATATTAACCGGCAGCTCCTGCGTTCCAGAACTGCTCTGAAAGTTCCACTGGGGACGATCTCGCCATGCTTGAGGGACTTGGGCGGCAGTCACATTAGGGACCCAGGGACAGGGAGGGAGACAGAAGAGGAGGGCCGCGCACCTGGGGCACAGCCTAGCCGGTTATTTAAAATGGGGGCGGCTGAGCAGGCTCCCCAAACCTCCCGCGGGCCTGGGGCTCCCTGGACTCCTCCTTCACCCCGCCCCTGCCCTCAGCACCCGAGCCTCCGCCTTCCCCATCCCTTCCACCCCCACCCTTAACTCCTGGAGTCGGGAGAAGGAAGGTAGGGGAGGGATCAACCAGGGGGTGCCTCGCAGACTGCCAGCCCCAAGCCCCTCTCGGTTTTAGGGGATCTTTGTGGGGTCTACGATAGAATCCCGGCCTGGCTCTCCACACCCAACCCCCACTGGGGCTGTCCCTCCCCCTTCTTTTGTGTTGGGAACGAGAATAGCCACTGCCCAAGGAAAAAAGTATTTGTTTTCGTTTCGTTCGTCTGAGGGAAGTTGACAGAAGGTCAGAAGTTCAAATGCTGCCAGTGCGCGCAGCGGCGAGAGTGGCTGGGCGCGGGACCGCTGGGCCCAGCGTCCCCGGGCAGGGAGGACGGGGGTTGGGGGGTAGGCCCTTGGGCTGGGGGCTCTGGCTGGGACGTGGAGGCCCAGAGGCCAAGCAGGCGGCGGACTGCGGAGGGGGGCGCGGCCCAGGGCAGGCGGACAGAGTCCGCGCTGCGCCCCGGCCCCTGCGCGGGCGTCCCCGTCTCCGCGCCCCCGCCACCGGGGTCACTTCCGCGAGCCCCGCGCTGCTGTTAGCTCCTGCGGTGCCTGTGCTCCGGCGCGTGGAGCGGCAGAGCCCGGCGGCTCCAGCCCAGCCCCGCGCCCACTGAAACCCTAGCCGCGGGGGATCGGTAACCCGGGAGTAAGTGGGGCTGCGCGGTTCTGCGCGCTCGCAGTTTCGCAGCAGCGCTGCAAGGCCGGAACCCTGGGGAGGGCTGTGGACACCCTCTGCAAGGCCCAGGACACCCTCTGCGGCATTGGCCTCCTGCAGACCAGGGCAGAAGCTGACCCACTCTGGCTCTGGGACCTCGGGTGTTCACGCCCCCGCCGCTTCCGCAGCGCCGCTCTCCTCTCGGGTTCCAGGGGACCCCGGCAAGGCCCCTCCTCGGCGGGCAGTGAGGGTGAGGAGAGGATGGGCGCCCCGGGCTAGCCGGAGAACTCCCTCCAGCCAGCTGCACGCACCGGGCACCCCGTGGCCCGTGCAGAGTTAATTGTGGATCGCGCTGCTATCCGGCAAAGGCGCGCGCGTCCACACTCGCGGTCCAGATTTAAGGTGGTCGGGAGCAGATGAGGGAGAGCAAGGAAATCAGAACCAGTTTCCATTCCTCTCCTTTTCGACAGCGGGAGCCGGCTACCCCGCCTGCGCTTCACCTTTCTCGGCCCCAGGCAAGCCTGGGAATCTGGTCGGGAAGCAGGGGGCCCGGAGGCAGCTCCTCTCGCGGCCGTCCCTCCCCTCCCCCTGCACTCGCGCCCCACCAGGCCACTCCATCAGCCACTGTGCGCACCTAGCCCTAAAGGTAGGACTTGAATATTTTAATAGGGCAATAAAAAGGATGTTGACCTATATTTGCAAGGAAACCCATTTCTGGCTTCAGTTATACGTGCATGGAGTTTCAGAAAGTCTAGAATTGGCTGGGAGATTGGCAGCGCAGAAGTCTCAAAGGAGGTGAGGAGGGAGAGAAGAATTCATATTTTGCTTAGCTTCCCCTCCCCCCTCACTAATATTTATTCTCTTAATTCTTATGCAAGCAGGTTGAAAACTAAAGTGATTCAGAGCCAATAAGTTCTAAGTCCCTCCCCTAAGGTACCTCGGGCTTGGGAGAGCCAGAGAGCATCCTTAAAGAAATATCAATACATTCACACTCTGATGGGCACAATTGTGGACACGCAGTCGCAAAGGCAGCTCTGCGATCCAGCCAGGGACCCAGGGACGGCGGGAGTCGCCTCTGGAGCCCCCGCCTTTTGTCAGAACCGCCTCCTGGCTTTTCCAGTTGAGAATTCTTTGGTGGGGAGGTGTGGGGTGGGGGCAGTCGTGGGAAGGAAAACCACAGAGGCGACGGGAAACCTGGGGGCTCCGCACCCAAGGCTAGTTTCCTACAGTGTCCGGAGGCCACTTCACGTTCGTGGGAGGAGGATTCCCACCCTCTCCTTCCGTGTTCACTCCTGACTTGGAAAGGGCCGACACCCCCAAAGTGAAGGTCTCCCCAAGTTACAAGCCAGGGCAGAGGTAGGATGGGGAAGGCCACTGTAGCGAGACTCCTCAAATCAGGGCCGTAATGGACCACGTCTGTTCCTGGCCTCACCCCACCACACCCTAAACTTCTCCAGCTGGACCCTTGACCTCCATTCTCCTCCAGGAAGAGGAAGAGATGAAGGGGAGGGCAGGTGGGTGGGGAAGGAGCCGGTGAAATCACCTTCGTATCTGCCCGAAGAGCAAACAGAGTAAGTCTGGAAGTGCTCCGCTTCTCGTAACCCCCTGGAAAGCCGCACACTCCACGCCCGCGCTGGGGTCCTACCTGAGTCATCAGCCTGTCCGCTCCGGTGTTTTCTTCGTCCTTAAATATGATGTCGGGGTTGTAATTGGGGGTGAGTTCCTTAAATCGCTCCGAGTTTCTGGTGATCTTCCCTTCATACCTTCCGCTGGCGCCTAGGGTCTTCTCGGCCACATTGGGGATAAACTGCTTGTAGGATAAAGGGGTCAGCTTTTTGGGGTGCCGCCTCTTTCCGAACCCCCTGCCGGGTCCGCACGCCAGCCCCGAGCACACCAGCAGCGAGGAGACGAGGACTAGCAGCAGACATCTCGCCAGCAGCAGCATCTCGCCCATGGAGCTGATGACTTCCGAGCTGTCCCCGAGCGGGTCCGTGCGCGAGTGCGCGCGGCGGGTGTGTGCCTGTGCGCTCTCTCTTGCGCTCTCCCTTCCTCGCTCCGGCTCGCCCTCTCGCTCGCTCTCTCGCTGGCTGCCTCGCGCTTTCTCTTCCTATATAACCTTGCCCGCCGCGGCTGCGGGGGACTCTCTACCGCTCCCCACCCAGACAGGGCTTGGAACGGCAGGCTGCCGGCCGCTGATAACGGAACACATCGGAGTTGGGTCTCGAGACAGCAATCAAAAGACAAAAAGAGTCTGATTTTAAATGGTAGCAAGCCTGGAGAGCGTGTGAGAGAGGCTGCCTTTAGCACTATATTATAGCTGCCAGGGGCGCATCTGATTGGCCAGAGCTGCACAAGCTCGTCTTCTGATGTTAACCCTGAAGAAGACTACATTTTTTTTTTTTTTTCTGTTGCTGCTGTTGCTTTATTTTCACCTGAAGGCTTCGAGTTAAAAAAAAAAAAAATCTTTCCTAAGATGCAGGCGGTCTGGAGGGAGGAGCGCAGGTCCCGGGCTAACAGCAGCTCCTCCCGGCTTTGTGCAGGCCCTCGAGTTTCCCCCTGATCGCCCTGGAATGGTAGGCGCTTCAGTCAAAACCAACTTAAGTTTTTAAAGGACAGTTGAGCCCCCCCCCCCCAAGCCTCAGTCATCAAGCACACAGTCGCTCACACGTTTGAAGCCAAGCTGCCCAGCTGTTAGTTAATGTTTCTTCCCCAGAGACTTGATCGTGCAGGCTGAGTCTCCCTGCATTCTGAAGAAAGAGGAGTGAGCCCTTTCCCAAAGACCAAGCATGATTATGAGTGACCGTAACTTAAAGCAGTGCTATTTGAATTGCTTTCAGTGCCTTAGAAATATGTAAAAATACTGCTCTTTCATTGTGCATCAATTAATACATCATTTTTTAAGCTCTGCAAATGGGATGGAGGCGTGCTCAAGGGCAGGTACAGAGTGAGCTGCGGGAGTCCGGGAGTCTGGGGCTGCACCCCCGCACGGAGGAGAGAGTGGGGGCCAGTGTGTGCGCTGGGTGGGCAGAGGCCATTGGGTGGGGGCAGGCGAGTGGGCGAAGCTGTGCTCACACCACCCCCACGATCGATATGAGCAAAGTGCAGAGCCAGGGATGAGCTGAACACAGAATTCAGGCTCCCTGCAAAGCTGTCCCTCTGTGCTCAGCAGGCACAGGAGCCGCCAGGTCCTAGGGGCTGCAGCCCAAGGGACTAGGGACCCTGGGGGACAGTATTCTGGTTGATGAGGGGCTTCCTAGAAAGAGGGCACAGTGCCCAGGAGTTGGAAATCTTTGAGTCCAGAATCACCTGACTTCTTGCAGAAAAAGGGAAAAAAGTCTCAAAAAGTTCTAATTTAACCAGGAAAATAAAATTTGAAGCTCCCCCTGCTTTATTTATTTTTTTTTTAAAAAAACAGATCATGCCCTTGCCCTTCTCACCCCCTATCCCACTCATGTACAGTAATTCCTCTAGCACAGGGTGAGGGAGTGAGGGTTATTCACGTGGAGGGGAATCCTGAGCCAGAGGAGTCAGCAGGTGCTGGGAATGTGGCCCTGTGAAGGTGAACAGTCTCCCTGGACCCCAGACTCTCGGAGTGAAGGGGGAGAGGTCCCGGATGAAGCTCAGCCCGCAAACAACAGACGTTTCCAGAAGTTCCTTTTGCGGACAACTTTGTGTGTGTGTGTGCGTGTGTGTGTGTGTGTCTGTGTGTGTGTGTCTGTGTGTGTGTGTGTGTGTGTGTGTGTGGTGGCAAGAGGAGAGAAGCATCTTAAGACACATCTGTCTTGGGCATAAGAGGCTGAGCATGAACAAGACTCGGTGGTCTGGGTCCCTTCGGGAAGGTCGACTCAGGCTCCCCATTCCACCTCTCTTTCTTGTTCTTTACCACGGTTTGTGAAGAACCCTGGTCTCGTCGGGGAGCACCTCTTGCCCAGGCCCCAGCAGTCTCCACTGAGTGGAGCTGGAGCTCAGCTGAGCCCAGGGGTTCTCCAGGCCGTGTGTGTCTGCGCTGCCTGCCATGTTCCCAGTAAAAACAGACACAAAACAGGATGCGTGTCCTCTCCGGAGGAGGCTGGCCTGTTTGGTATGGCTACCTGCAAGCACGTGGCTGTCACATCACTGGGTGGTGCCTGGGTTGGACCAGTGACCTGGCCCAGTGGGACACTCGCAAACCTTTTGACAGCCCTGCCACCACCCTGGTGTCTCCCCTAGCCTCAGTCCCTCCTCCTCCCTCCCCCTTCCCCCACTCTCACCTACTCCCTTACAAATGCAGGTGAGTGCAGACTGTCCCAGTAGGGGCTGCTACCCTGGGGCCTGAGGGTCGGGTGTGCAGGCACACTTCCAGGAGGGGCAGCATGGGCAGGGTGCGTTTTGGAAGCAGAAGCCTGAGCTGCACGGAGTTCCACGTGGACACAGCTGGACGTGGGGTGCCCCCAGGTGCAGTCAGCTCCCTCTTGGCAGAGAGCAGGGAGACTTGGCTTGGCATTGAACTTGGGTGACTCCAGACATTTCCTCAAACCTCCCTGCCCCAAGGGATGGCCTGAGGCCGCCTCGCTCCCCTCCGTCTCTGGACAGCCCAGGACACTCCGGAGAGTATGTTAGGGGCCACCTCCCTTGCGGACTGGCTCATCCTCCAGAGTGAAATAATGCTGGGCCAGAAAGCCTGCCCCACGCCTAAGTTCAGAGGACCTGCCGCCTGCGTCGGCTGGGGGCAGATGGGCACAGAAAGCAATCCCGGTTAAGGGGCTGCTGCCCTGCCCTCCCACCCCTCACTCCCCGTCCTGCCATCCCACCCGCTCCCCTTGGCCCAGCCCCGCCTTCCCCTCCAGATGCCAGGTGGCTCTCTCTCTTTGCCTTCTCTCCCCATCCTCCGCCCCAGACAATTTGGCCCCCTCCGTGGCACCAGCAGAGGCTCCAAACCCCGTCTCTCTGACAAGGCCGGAGGTCTGTCCGTCCGGACAGTCCTGGGCTCCTGTCCTCTTCCACCCAGGCTCTACCTCTCTTCCTGGGGGTTGTGGCCATCCCTCCCTCGCACCTTCCCCAGCTTTCCTTCCCCCACCCCTCCCCATCCCCCACCCCTCTCCCAGCATCCCCGCCCAGGAGAGAGCTGCCTCCTCTCCTGCCCCAGCTCCAGGCTCCCTCCTGGGCACTGCCCCTGCCCCTCCTTCCGGCCCCTGCCGCTAGATGGCCTCCTCACTCTGCCTTCCGCTCGGGCTTGGCTGGGTTGGAAAATCCCCACAGTCCCAGATTGGGAGGCCCGGAAGCCTCCTTGGTTCATCCTCGCCTGGTCGCGTCCGCAGTTTCTGCGCCCCCCTCACCTCCTCATCTTCCCTTCCTTTCCCCAGATTAGCACCCGCCTGGCCCTGCAGTGATGGAGCCTGGCGGCCGCGCGTCTCCGGGCGCTGGCTCTGTTTCTAGTCTCTGGGGTGGGCCTCTCATCTTCCATGTCCTCCTCCCCTTTGATTTTTCTTCCTTGTGGTAACCCCACACAATCTCTTTCCATCCAGCCATCCAGTCTCCGCTTCTTTCTGGATTTTCCCAGTTTGGGCCGATGAAAGTTCTGCACCCCAGTTCTCCCGCGATGGCAGCCAGCGCCCTTCGAACTGGGGACGCGGCCCTGAGGCCTCCTTTCCTAACTCCATAGCCCTCCCCCAGGGATGTGAGACTGCAGCTTCCTGGAGGGCTCAGCCTCTGGATAGTCCCGGAAAGCCAGCCGCACCCTGCACAGCCCCCTGACTGTGGCCTGGCTGCAGGTGGATTGAGGCAATGCTGCCCTCTCCATGCCAAAGCCCAGGAGATTTGGGTGCCTGCAGGGCTCTCTGGACTGCTGTATCCACATCCTCATGGCACCAGCGCTGGGGACAGGCCAGCTGGGAGGCAGCTGCCAAGACACACAGGGCCTCTGGGGACCATGGCTGGTATTCAGTGCTAGCTCTGCTGTGTGTCCACCGTGCAGCATTTCTCAGCAGTGCTGTGCAGCGGGCACCGGGCCAACCCCAGCTGCCCATGGGCCCCATGACTGTGGGTGCAGCCCGGCTTCTTCCCGGCCTGGGCTTCTCTGTGAAGCAGAGGTGCAGGTAACGCTTTGATTCCTGCCATCATCCTTGCCCCCGCTGCGCACAAACCCCGTGGAGCCCCGTGGAGCCCCGCGGAGCCCCGGCCGTCATGCACGAGGGTTGCAGACTCCCAGAGATGAGGACATGGCAGTTTCTGGGGACGTTGGGAAGATCGCATGGCCAGTGGTGAAAACCAAAGCTGTGCTCCATCAGAGTAGGCATCCCGAGGCAGGACTCTGCTCAGACGCGAACACGCGGCCTGAACCATGCTGCTGTGTGACTTTGAGCTGGTTTTCTCTCTTTAGAGCGTTGCCTACCTTTGTTGAGTGGCTTTGTCTTCATGTTAAGCAATGGGTATGTCTTCTTGTTCTAAATAATGCGACAAGCGTTTGCCTCTGTACAGGCTCAGAGTGGCCTAGCACCGCTGTCGGGAGGACCCGAGGCTACATTCGAAGTTTGGAAGGGACACACGGTCTAGGCAGTGGCCTGTGCCCAGGGAGGAAGGGACTCCCAGTCTCCCTGCTGCTCCCTGCACCCCCGCCACCTAGAGATCCTTCCATGAGACCATCATTCCTTCCATCTTGGAACCTAGTTAAGATGCAGACACCCTGGAAAGTTAAGGCATTAAACCCTCGTGTGTGTCAGAATCACTGGGGAACTGAGAAAAGCCAGTAGGCCGTGCTGAGGCCTCACTCCTGAGCAATCAAATCAGGATGTCTGCTTTGCTGACTTCCCGGATGGGAATCCCCAAAACCCAGGGGCAAGCATGGGAAGGGGAGCTGTGTGTGCAACTGCCAGCTCCAGGCCCCTGCTGCTCCCCCGCAGCTTCCAGACACTCCATCTGCCGGCTCCCCGCACCCAGCCCCAACGCCTCCCTTCCTGCCCTAAGCCTGCGTGCCTTGGGCCCCGAGTGCTGGGCTGGGACTGGCATGGAGCTGTATACAGACCTTCAGACAGCAGTGGTCAGACGCCTTTGGGGGGTGTGTGTGCGCTTCAGATTCTTTCTGGAGAGCGCATGGAGGGGATCTGCTGAGGGGTGAATGTGACAGAGCTGCATGCAGTGCCTGGAGGCTGGGGTGCCTTGGAGGAGTGAGGACAGAGTTGCGTGGGGGAGTGCTGCCTGGAGCAGCTTTTCCCAGAGCCTCGGAAGCTGGGATCAGCCCATTCCCACTGCAGGAGGGGCTCCCTGGCTTGCTGGCTCCGTAGCTGCCCTTC